TTTTTWWTKGKTTCTTCTTTCCTTTGAAGTGCAAATGTTAGACTAACCACATACTGATTTCTGACATTGAATGAAACATTTGTTTGCCCAGCATATGTGACTTCACTGAGAAAGGAATGACAGGTGACTARGTTTTAATAGTGCGATTAAACGCTGTCGAMCTTTTGATATTACAAGCATTGCAGGCTTTGAAGAAAACAACTGTGGTCTRAGAAGAAGTAAGTACTAATRTGAGGCGCAGATGTTTCGACTTTTCCCGCCAAAACTTAAAACTGTTTGCAATTTTTGTGACGAAAGGCTTTATGGGGCCTTGTCACTATGTCATCGTGTTGACTGATGTAGCAGGCGTTCCTTGATAGTCCTTGATATTTTTAAGTTGAAAAAAAAAATTCTATAGAAAAACAAACAAAGTAGCAATAGAAAAGAAAAAGAAGGAAAAAAGAAAAGAAGAGAGAAGAAAAGAAAAGAAAAGAATAAAAAAATGAAAAAGTAAAAATAGAAATTCTAGCAGCAGGACTCGAACTCAGGACTTTCACTTAAGCAGAAGATGTAACCCCACTGACATACATAAGAAATAATGAAAATAAAAAACTAAAAAGTTGGGACGATTCCCCCGAGACATTCTATGAAGCTGAGGCGTCGAATCGGCTTACGTTACGGTTAGAGATTTCGGCTCTTCCACGCTATCCCGAGTGAACATAAAACTTAGTCTTAACCAAAAGGCCAGGGAGTGAGGGGGTAGCCGCCCACTAGAGCATACCTTTAGCTACCCTCTTAGACCATCGTACTATGAAGACACTTATAGATATCTAATGTCTAATTGGGGTAGTCTATTCGGTGAAGTTCTATTCTAATATATGACGTCATCAAAATCCTTAGGGAGCAGCGAGCCAATCAGAGCTCAGCTCGGGAATTAGCAAAAGATACAGGGTTTACATAATCATTCTTCAGTGGAATTATTATTTGATAGGGGGTGGGGTGGGTGCCGAGTGCTGATCTGCGGCCGAATACCGATGTACTCGATGTACTGTGACGGCTTTCACCGAGCTGTTCAATTGTCGTTATTATTTTCCAAATCATCACAGGGAAAGGTGTACAGTTCTAATATCAGACAGACATTACAAGTATTCGGATAAACACCACGACAAAAAATCTCTTGAAATTCTTAAAGAAGTGGTTTACAGACCAGGCAGCCGCTTGGCAGGCCAGCACGGATACTAGCTGTTGCCAAAGATTTGCCGGGATTCAATGGAACACAATTAAAGACCTCTGAATTCCAAACATTTAACTCGAAMGTTACACATTTTCGTTTAATATTGGTTATCAAATAATTATTAAATCTAAATATAGTGAATGTTAAAAATTGAAGAGAATGCAGGAATRACAATCCGTATAAAATAAATAAAGAAATACTCGAAAAACTTAGCAATATTTGGGGTTTTATTGCAAAACTATAATAAGGCGAATAAGAGAATTTATCATGAGTTTATAAGTCAACAGATACAGAGGCTGATGTCTTTGACTACAGCTAACTTGAAGCTCTGAGAACTCCATGTCGTGGATATTTCAGAAGGATATGTTTACTGTAGGCACGGGGATACAGGGCGACCGGCGATAGTACCCCAGGGGAGGAATGATCAACATTTAACATACAATAGGTTCCTTGGCCCCTGGGAATCGCCGCCTGTTGTGTATTTATAGGCAACGTACTTTAGTTGATCGCCGCTTGATGCTCCAGTTCCTTTTGGCGTATACAGCTAATTAAGGAAAACGTTGAAATGCATTGYGGGTCTTTCTTTCACCGTTCACCATTCAAAAGGAGTTTTCATGGTTTCAGAGTGTATGCCAGGTCCGTGATGTGGTCAAGAACTTACAAGGAAAGCAGGGACAGCTAGCAACGAGGGCTAGTAAAAACTTCCGCAATTTTGCGAGTAGAGAAGGCCCTGGAGACGAGGTTGGTTTCCCCCATCTCATTGGTCGTTAAATCATTGATTGACATTTGTGATAACACGTGATAACATTTCATTGGCATTCTGGTGTGCAAGTTTGGTTCGAATGCAAGATGATCACAAAACGGTGAGTAAAGTTTCCAAAATACTCTTATATTATGATAACGAATTTGGATAATTTCAACTTTATGACGTTCRAGCAAAAACTAGCAAAGCATTTTAGAAAATTTTTCAGGTATTTCATTCATAAAAAGGTGTCATTTTTCTCCACAATAACGGTAACGTTTGCTCTCGCTTAACAAATGCCCGCTAAGTAAATGGTTATTATAATGTTTTTGAATCACCGCTAGTAACCTTTTATATTATTTTATATATTTCTCAGTATTTAGTGCAGTTTACAATTATCATTTTGAAACGTACTTTGAAAACGTACGAATAGCAAACACAAGTTCGCGTACGGGTGACGTACGAATAGCCACTATGTACTTTGAAACTTGTCGTCGTTGCGTTGACTAAAGGCCCACGTGCTTCCGAGAACCTTTTTTTTAGCGCCATTTATGCAAATTTGATATCCAAGAATTAATAACAAGTGTATGTTTTTCGACTAATGTACAAAATAGATAGTAAAGTGATTCGTACAATAAAATACATTTAAATCCGTGTTCAAAAATAATAATATATTTTRAATTTGCCAGCAATCGAAGCCGCACACCCTTACAACTTTGATAAATTGCGCAAAATWGTGAAAGAGGTTATTAAAATTTCATGTGATTTAAAGCAAAAGATCGCAACAATTTTAGCATTAATTGAGGAATTTTAAGGATTGGAGAAATTCCACAAACTTAAACACAAATAAGAAATCGTCTTCAACATTTATTGATTTTATTATAAGCTTAAATTGCATGTCCATGTTATAAATACTGCTGCATGTTACTATGGCAAAGTGTTTTACACATTTCCATATGCTTATTAAATATAAGTAAATTAATAGTATTTWCTAGTTTTAGCAGAAACAACAGCTTCATTTCTTTATACAAATATGTTCTGATAGCAGCCTCCTACGAAGCTTTGCTTTGTGTTGTTGATACATTTGTGACAGCACAAAATAACGGCTGCGTAGGAGACTAAGGAGACAGGGAGAYTTCCAGCCAGACTTCCTTCTTAAAATTCAGTTTAAAAATGTCAATAGTACAATTTTTCATTATTTRATTTACACAGTGTCTTTTATATCTTAATAAGTTACTTCTTCTAACGCTCTTAATCTGTAAACTACAACAAATTAACCAAAACTCAAAGGAACAATAATGAATAATCTAAAGCAARACAACATATTAAGTATAATAAACTCTTTAAACATCGTCACATTGTGAAATCTTTGAAGTTCGCTTGTTTTTTACAGCAGTTTGTTTCTTGTATTCGTCACTGGGAGTCCGTTTTGTTATTTTGATTACCAGTCCATCTGGTTTCTTAGGAATGGGAGGCTTTCCTCTCTTTTCAAATGTACAGTTATCCCTTCCTAAAGTCTTTTTCGGAACTTCGGGTCTTCGTCGTACAACGGTCGGTTTTTCCCCGTTTTTGAGYGATTCGTGGGCGTGTCTGGTCCTGTTCTTTGGTACAGGGTGTTTAGTGCATACAACCGAGAGATGTTGGTTTGGTGTATCTGGAGATTTTTCCTGCTTGGGTGTTTGTTTCTTAGATCGAGGTGCTGGCTTTGGTTGTTGAACGACAGGGACAGCCTTTTTCATAGAAGGCTTAGGCAAAAGAGTTGGTTTTGGAGGTTTAACTGGTGTAATATTCAAACATTCTTCGTTCTCGTTGCTATTGAAGACAGAATCAATAAAATCACCAATGTCATTGCCTAAAAATGGTAGATCTATCTCTGCGTCGCCTCTAGTAGACGAATTGCTTCTTTTTATTTCTTTTTCACTTGCTTCATGACTTCCTTTCTCAATTTCAGAACAAGACGAATAAACGCTATCTCTGTTGTTTGTACACGCAAGCTCAGAATTGTGGGACGGACTGGGGGRCTCGCTGGAAGTATCTGGTTCAAGCTCACGTTCTAACATTTCATGAATTCGTACTAAATTCTCTTTGCATTCTTGTGAAAGTTTGTGTAGCTCACGGACTTGCTCGGGGTCCGCTATAAAAGATGTGCTGGACAGCCGTGACGCCCGCTTGTCATTCGCGTCGTATTCTACGTCAATCTGCATTCCGTTGATTGTCAAATCAAGTCGACTATTCGAGCTTCGTGGTCTTCGTGGTTTATCATTATATTCAACTTGGATCTTAAAGAATGGTTCACGAGTTCCTTTCTCTCTTGCTCGTCTTGCTAAGACAACCGCAATRAATATCAACAAGAGAATCGTTGGAATCGTAGCGACTATGATGAAAAKCATGATTTTATCTTCCGAGCCGTCGTTTTTCGTCCCAGCGGCATCATCCCCCGTGGCAGTAGTGGAAAGGTTTCCATCCGTGACCGTACTGCTTGCTGGGAAGACGTGAGTAGTGGGTGATGGTGAAATATAGGCCATTGTAGTCTTTGCAGTGGTTTGGAACTTGGAAGTYGACCTCGTGTTCTTTACCTATCGACGATTAAAAAAGTATATGTTCAGTRCAATCGTTGATTTAAGGCGAAGTATGCAATGTCTGGAGTATAATGGACTAGAGCAACAGGTGTGCAACCACATCCATGACATTTCATTATCAATTCTTTGTGGTTTTTCGGCCATGATTCGGAACTGGGTGTAGTAGACATTGTATAGCAGTCWGACATACTAGATACTACAAAAGATATACGATATGATTTGTCTGATTACATTTTGTATATTATTGGTAGTATAATTGTTAGCAATGTTAATTATTTTCTAAGCAATCGTTTATCTTTGTTACATTTGAAAACATTAAAATTATGATTCTCKGCGCTGGGAGCTGAATGAGAACATTTCCTTTCTCTACCCTGTAAAAGATGACATCATGGAAGATGACGTAGTTGTCGCAACATCCGGCGCCAAAAGGATCGTCCAAGAATGGCAGTGTATTTTTGTTAGAGGAAAAAAAAGCCGAACCGAAAGAAATTAAGTATGAAGGAAGAAAATCGTAGAAATTAAAGTAACTTAGTGAATTGTGTAAGCCGTATTAAAAAGCGAAAAAATAAAAATAACGAGCTGTACTCCACAGTATYCTGCACATGTGTATACACAATAGTCTGCATTAAAGAATAATAATAAAATGGTCTTTCCTACTTGTAGGCTGGAATCAGTCCTAAATTTCTGATTATGTACCATACGAGTCAAAATGACTGCCAATTTAATAATGTCACCAAAGCGTACCATGAATGCACTTAATTATACACAGGAAACTAAGATTTTAACATGTTGAGTTGACTGTCTGGTTTAATGGGCTGTGAAAATACCTGAAAATATTGAATATATATAGTCTCGAGCTAAAAAAAATAATTGTGAAACACACTGTAATCTCATTATTAAATGGAATAAAAATAGTTAATAGAAATCTGCTCGTTTGAATAGAGCAACAAGAGATACAAATAAACAAGTAAATTCTTGACATAAAATTCCTATAGAGATGTAGATCTCGATTGCGTTGGAATACTCCACAGAATCAGCAYAGAATATCGAAAAAGATTCAGAAAACGTTTCATACATACCAGAGTATCATGGGCAGTACACGTGGTGCATCATGCCTTGGTGTATTCTAGAACATTTGATCATGGATGCTTTACAATGAATCTCTATTATTGATATCGATGTAAACCAACCTCGATGTAACTATCCTTTTGCTTTCAGCCGACTTGCCGATTTGCTTCTGCTTTATTATGAACATTGAATTGGCTTTAAGTAATCGTCCAATCGGATTCAAGAAAGCTGCCACTTGATTGGCAAATGACAGGGCGAAAGACAAAACGAAAGAGTTGACTAAGGTGTGTTTCTTGYTCCTTTACAGTATTCGTGAATACGTAGACGTTTAGTTGAAGTGTTGTTTTTCCGTTACTGCATTSGATATCACGTAGAATATATTTTAAGTTTCCTTTTCAAGGATTTCTTATAATTGCTCTTTTTTTAAAACAATTATTTTTAATTGAAATGTTAATGATTTCATTCTTCTCTTTCGACATATTGTCATTTTTAAAACTCTGTTTATTATGCACTGTCGCATTGTGTGCCTAGATCTTTTGTTCTAAAACTGAGATTCTAATTCGCGTTCCAGAACGTTTGATCATGCTGCATATGAGCCATAATTATATTAAATTTTTTCCTATGTATGATTATGAATTGAATGATCGCCAACAAAATRAAAATAGGATTTCCTAAGTAAATAGAATCAATTTGATTAGGTATTCGAGAAGAAGACATCATCCCCACGTGGTGGAATCACTTACCATCACACCTGTTGTCCTGACATTTCCGCCAGTCTTTGAATATTCATTCTGAATGTTTGTTTTGTCTGGTGTGACTTTAACCGGGCTTGTAAAAAGGTCTYTGGAACTCATACTATGGCGCATGTGCGATAAGGACATAGCCAATGATGGTCCTATAGTGCCAATATTAGGACTACTYGTAATCATTCTTAAAATTGAGCTGACATCTGATGTTTGAGATGATTCTGGTCTGAGTAAACTCGATAATGATGATCGATAAGGTRAAGATGATGAATGTAACCTTGGTAACGACCTTGATAATGATGACGTCAGTATTGATGATGATGATAACACTGATAATGATGGAGTCGATGATGATGATGATGACGTCAATAATGATAATGATGGCGTTAATATTGATGGTGATGACGTCCTTGATGATATCGCTGATGGCAATAACAGTGCTTGTGACGATGCCGATGCCGATGATGGGTGTGGCATTGCTGATGATGATGACATTGCTGAGGTCAAATGTGATGATGATGACATTAATAGCGATTTAGATGATGATGATGACAATGCTAGCGACGACGATGATGATAGTGATGATGGAGACGTTCCTGCATGTACTGTCCATGATGATTCAAACAATGACGTTGCCCTAGTTGTTGATGATGATGCTGTGTCACGTGTCTGTGATCGTAACGTCGCTCTAGATCCATCTCCACTTATTGAAGTAGATGCCGATAATGATACCGAGGACGATAGTATCATTGATGATGCTATTCCGAACAATGATGGAGATGATAACGATGACATCATTGATGACAATAGCACTGGAATTGATGAGGTCACTTCACTAACGACGTCAGTTGACAACTTCTTCGACGTTGATGATGACATCAGTATCACTGACGATAACTGAGACGATGACATTCCAATMGTTGATMGTTCGAAATCAGTTGCAAAACTTGAAGAAGATGAAACAGTTTGAATCGAACTAGAAGGGTTTAGCTCGTTGATAAATGAAGTTTTCACGCGGAAATAGCTGACCACATTGACTGGTGTTTCCGTAGAGCTTGGTGACGATGTTGTTGAATCAGATGATGATAATGATGTCAAAGAAGYTGCTGGAACTGATGATGGYGATGGCTGCAGAAATCGTAATGTCGACGATGACAACGATGGTGACGACGGCAAAGGTGATTGAAATGACGACGATAGTTSATGGAATTCTGATGATTGTATTGGTGATAATGATATTGATTGTTGTTGCGATTGYGATTGCTGTTTTGAGGATARCARTGTTGATTTGGGCAACGAAAACGCCCAAAACGATAAACTACTTACAATAGATGGTGATGAAGGTGTCGATGATAGCGATTGTGTTGATGATAGCGATTGTGTTGATGATAGTGATTGTGTTGATGATAGTGATTGTGTTGATCGATGTCTTGAAGATGACAATGTTGTTGATACTGATGATGGTGGCTCACGTTCCGCAGACGATAAAACGTCGTCAATTACGTGAGATGAAGTCATTTTAGACGATAAATCATCACTAGCAGACGATGACTCAATTAACGTTGATACGATTGATGGGCTTTTATATCCAACAGAACTCCCAACAGACTTTATCAACTTCAGACTCAACGTTGCCTTGAACGATATACTTCTTTCTGAGGAAATTGTCAAAGATGGAACGACATAAAACATTGACGTTTTCCTCYGTTCCTCYKCAGAAGTGGAATAAACTTGAATCGAATCGATCTTACTCATCTTGCTGATAATGAAAGGTTTGGTAKACGTGCTTGCAGTAATCACTCGTGTCTGTGWTTGYGGTGAAGCCGAAAAGGTTTTTGACGSCGTTATKTGCGTCGAAKAGGTTGKAGWACTTKGAGAACGCCTTGTCATTGCGTGGGCTTCCTKTGAGGTTTTTGTTTGTGTRTTCGTCGTCGWTGTTTTTGATGAACTAGASGTTCTCAAGTGCGTMGCGGAAGACRTTGAAAAACGTGTAGAGGTGATAGCGCTATTTTTCTGAGAAAATGTTAACTTGTTGAAGTCGCCCTTATCTTGACCATCTGACAGCACGGAAGAACGCCAGATGCGGGAGTCCCGAGACGTGCGGGAATTCCGCGCGAAGCGAGAGTCATGCAATCCTTGGAATGAACTGTCACGAAGACTTTGGGAATATTTTTGTGGTTTACCAGAAAATGCTTTGAATTTAGATTGTCTTTGATGGTTAGCRTTGTGAATGTTGRTRAACGTTCCTTCACTCCACGTGGCGGTAGTCGCACCAGTCTCTCCCTCMCTMGGGGCGGTAGTACTCGAAACGATGACAGATGAAAGAGAAAGTGTCTGCGATACGMCAGRCGAGACTATGGCGACTTGACTGGKTTTCTTATCTTYCYCAGTGCTTATCTTTGATTGTARCACATCTTGACTTGCTAATCTCTTGTATCTTAGCGTACGTCTTCTTAATCGGGTTCTATGATTTCTGCCAACTCCGTCTAAATACTGTAATCTTGACGTGAATTTATGTCTTATGATATAGTTACTCTGTTTTAAAAGATTATTCCACTTTTCGTCATAAACTAACTTGTTCCGTGCGCTTTGTCCCACTATTTTATGCTTATTTTGATATCTTTGTTGTTTTGGGTGTTGTATAAGACCTCCAAGAATCCCAGCAATGYAAGACAGCCCTGTACCAAAATAATAATAACATTAGTAAAAAGGAAATAGTCGGATAAAGACCGTGATTGTTTTAGATTAAGAAATTAAAATAAACACCGTACAAACAATGTGACTAGTCTTCATTGATATAACAAAGGTTGTAATTTTAATAGCTTTAAAACTTCGTCAAAAGATTGCGAAACAAACAAACAAAYAAATAAATAAATTTAAAATAGATAAATTTAGAAAGTATTCAATGATGTCAGAGTGCAAATATGCAGCTGGGGATTTGTACTAAAGATTTCAGTAATAAAGCCAGGATTCCGTATAAAACATGTAAAATAAAACTTCTAATACTCCCTAAAAATGGACAGTCGTTAACCGAGCTGAATTAGTATGTATTTCACAAGTTTCTTGACAATTTTTATTCAATTCTCAAGGACAATTGAAGCAATGATCACAAAATTTTTAATTTAGGGCAGACAAGTCTTTCCAGGAACAGTATCATAAAATAGAAAGTAAATGCATAGTTGATACAGAGGACTCTCAATAAACTATGGTAAAAGCGAGAAAAAGTCGAGTATCTTTAATTTTTTGCTGTAATTCAGTCTATAATATCCCGAACTCGCCTACACAACTCGACAAAACACGATCTTAACTTTGACTGCAAAACAATCCCATAAAAATATAAAAAATAGAAGTTTGGAAAGACCTACCTATGTATTCTAATAACAAAAAGAAATGGGAAGATATACTGTTGTAAATAATATTATCCTTGCTAATCAGTGCTCAAGAAATTTATACGAGTTGATTGGTCCAGATTATTACAGTAAGAGCAAAAGTGCTTCATACCGTTATCTAGAATATAAAACAAGAAATAACTTACCTAGAATAACAACAATCTGTACTTTTAACATATTCAATTAGCGGTAAACACCGTAAATGTGATCTAATCAAAAGAATCCTTGTTGAGACCATTCGGCCTGAAATTCTTGCAGTGTTATGAAAGACTAGCCGGTATCCACGTGACTTGGTTTTCACTCAATCACTAATTGACCTCTACATCTCAGGCGCTCAATAACAGCTTCACTAGTTACAGTATGCCTGAACGATATGCAGCCACGAATAAGACGACTGTCTTAAGCTACAATCAATAAATGCAGGGCGGTCGTAATAGGATACCAGTATTTAAAGAAGGGCTACCGTGATTTGTCACTAAAGATTTTCTATTCCGGATATGACTGATAACTCCACAYATGACGTCACCATGTTACTTGTGAATGCATTCAGGGCGCGTTTTTGTAAGTCACTCCTTCGCGAAGTACTCAAAAGAGGAATATCGATTGTATTCAGTGTAAGGGAATAAAG